AGTGATCGCGGATCGGTTGGATTGACGTGAACGAATCAGAATGCAATTTCAGTTGTCGAGCTTTGTGGCCCTTGAAAATTGGAACAGTGTGTTTTGCAAAACTTTCCTCTTTTCTTCCCTTAGTACAAAAACCATCCAAGCTTCTTTCAAGTTGGTCTCAGGTTTGATATTTTTGCTGCGGGCTTTAAAGTATAACAAGGATGTAACACTAACTCTGGTGTTACTGTTAGAATAACGTGATGAACTAGATTGTGCCATACAGGGAGGTTTTGTGCTATGGTGCTGTACCCCCTATGAGCATGCACCTATCTAGCCTATAACATATACAAATATATGTTGACACACCCCCTAGGCTAGACAAGGGGCAGTGCCTGGCAAGAGACACGCAACTCAGGGTGGCACTACTAGTCCAACCTCTGAGGCAAGGGTCTAAAGACTAGTCAGGAGAGTACAAACAAGACAAGAGCAAACCAGGGCGGCACTACTAGTTCGGCCACTGGAGCAAAAGCCACAAGGCCAATAAGGAGAATATAATAAGAGTAGTACACAATCAAGGTCCCATCAAGTGAGGAGCTACTGGAACTAGACCAAGCTATACACAGTGCCACTGATGATCTTTAGGCACAAGCGCCTTCGTAAAGATATCAGGGTTTAGGGTTTAGGGGCCAAATCGGAGGCCAAGTGAACTACGCGGGCTTGACGTCGCTGCTGCAGCTCGTGCAGGAGGAGGTACCGCAGCTGGATGTGCTTCGCTCTTCCCTCCAGTCAAGGCTCCTAACAGAGGAGGATCATGGCCCTGTTGTCAGCGTACATGATCGGGGCAGAGCTAAGCTACTCACCTAAGTCTGTGAGCAGGAACTTCAGCTAGCAAAGCACCTGTGCCGCCATGGCACCTGCGTAGATCTCAGCCTCGCAGCTAGACTGTGCAACAGAGGACGAGCGGGTGGACCTCCACGAGACAGCGCCTGCACCAAGGCTAAAGCAGTAGCCCTGAGAGGACTTGAGCGTCTCAGCGTCGTCGGCCCACGAAACGTCTGTGTGCCCTCTCAGGACCACTGGCCTGCGTCCTCCTAGCACTAGCCCCATGCCCAATGTACTTGCTAGATAACGCAAAACCCTCTTAGCTACCAACCACTGCTATGGTCAGTGTCTGCCTGTCGCCACAAAGCGAGCCAGGATGCTGAGAGGGTATGCAAGATTTGGACGAGTGCAAGTCATCAAGTACATGAGGCAACCCACCAGCTCTGCATAAGGGCCACTGGGCTCTACTGGCTCCTCAGGAACTGGAGAAGAGAGTCTGTGGTCTACAGTCAAAGGGGTGGGCAGTGCAGAGGAGAACTGAAGGCCGAACCTCTAAAGGACCTGGCGCACCAAGTGTGATTAAGTGAGGGTGATGGTGCGCGCCGCTCTGTCCCTGGAGATCTGCAAGCCAAGGTAACGGCCCAGCTCTCCAAGGTCAGTGCAGGTGTGTCTCTTCAGCAGCTCTGCCTTCACCGAGGCCAGTGCGTCCCTGTCGGCAGTGGCGAAGACCAGGTCGTCGATGTAAACAAGGATGTAGAACGGAGTCTGGCCAGCACGAACGAAGAGCGAGGGGTCAGCAGAAGACGGAAAGAACTGCAGGTCAGCAAGGGTAGCACCCAACGTGTCGTGCCACTCACGGGGAGCCTGCCGCAGGCCATAGACGGGGCGCTGCAGGAGCCACTAGGTCCCAGGAGGGAAGGTGCCAGTGAAACCCTAAGGGTGGCGCAGGTAGACCTGCTTGTGTAGACTGCCCTGAAGAAACACAGTGGAGAAGTCGAGGGAGTGAAGCTCATAGTCACGCTGAGCTGCTACGTGTAGCAGCACCCGAAGAGTAGTCATCTTCGGGGTCAAAGCGAAAGTCTGAAAGAAGTCCACCCCCTCACGCTGACGGAAGCCTCTAGCCACGTAGCGCGCCTTGAACACAGGCGGCTCCCCAGGAGGGCGCTTCACCTTGAAGAGCCAGCGGCCATCGACTACGTTCACCCCAGGTGTGGGAACTGCGTCGACGTAGGTGCCAGTGGATCTCCAAGATGCCAACTTCTGCTCCATGGCAGCCATCCACTGAGAGGCCCAAGGTCCCGAGACCGCCTCATCGTAAGTGCGAGGGGTCGGGATGTCGAAAGCGTGTGGGTCACCCTCTAGGACTAGCAGCATGGAACATAGATGGGTAGCAGCCTCAAACAGGAAAGCAAGCTCGTACTGCATGTCCTCTAGAACGTCACTGCCAAGGGCTGGTGCACCCGCGACGGACAGAGGACGGGCAGGGTCAGAGACCAGAGTGGTAGCGTAGTCAAGGCAGCAGGTAGAGGCGAAGTCAGCTACAGCAGTGACAAGCGCGTCAAGACGCGAGACAGGAACAGACGGGTCGGTAACAAGAGAGGCAAGAACCCAAGGGATAAGGGGACGAGCGGCACGAAGGTAGTCAGACAGCGGGGGAGGGGCGACCACAAGCGACGAGGGAGGAGGCGACGGGAGGAGGGGAGGAGGAGACGAGTGAGAACTGAGCTACATATGGTGGGAGCGCGGGACAGGAGAGACGGGATGAGCACGGGAGGGACGGCGAGACCAGACGTGGGACGGAGGTGTAGGGTCAGGAGACAGCGGAGGAGACACAAAAGGGGAACGCGGAGGAAGACGGGTCGGAGACGAGTCCGGCGGCGGGAACAAAGGGCCGTAGACAGGAAGGTCAGAAGGTGGTGGGGGAGACACCGGCGAGCGGTCAGGGGAGGGAAGGCCGAGCAGGCGAAGAGCGGAGAGCGGCGGCGACGGCTTCTGCGGCTGCTGCTGTGACTGGTGCTCAACCCGCGGACCGGCAGGGGCACGACGACCGCCGGGAGAACACTCAACGGGAGCACCCCCAGAACCAACACCCTCAGAGCGAGAACCCCCTCCAGCACCAGCGGCACCCCCAGTCCCGCCGGGACAGACCATGCCAGGAGCCGCAGGACGAACACCCTCCTCAACGCCAGCACCCCCAGAGGCCAAGCGCGGTAGCGGCGGCGGCGGCGGCGACTACGACAGGGGGGGCTGAGACACCGGGGAAGGGGGACGCGGCAAGGACGGGCCGGGGGGACCACCAGAGACAGCAGACTCCTCAACGGGGACAAACGACGGGAGGGGAGTGACATGAGAGACACCAGACGGGGCAGGACGAGGCGGGAGAGGAGGAGGGGCTACCGGGGGAGAGGGAGCAAGGAACAGGGGGGGGAAACCAGGAGACCTCGGTGAGGGAAGCGACGGTAGAAGGAGACTGACTCGTCAAAGGTGACTTCACGAGAGTGTAGGAAGCGGTGAGACTGCGGGTGGTAGAAGAGCCAGTCCGACGAGTCCAGGGGGAAATTGAGAAGACACAGGGTACAGTGCGGGCAGTGAGCTTGTCCGTGCCAGAGGCACGAACGTGAGCAAGGCAACCCCAGACGTGGAACGCAGACGCGTCACCGGGGGACCCGGTCCAAAGGAGGGTCGGCGAAACCTGCGGCCGCTGGGAGCGGGGCCACAAGTTAAGCTGGTGAGCAGTGTAGCGAACAGCGAACGGCCATAGAAAATGGGGGGCATCGGCATGAATCATGGAGGTACGAGCAACCTCCATGACCAAGCCGATGCGGCGCTCAGCAACCCCATTCTGCTAGGGCGAGTCCGGCAAGGTGTACGACTGGGTGATGCCCTCCGCACGACAGAACTGTCCAAGCCGACCAGAGGCGAACTCGTCGCCACGGTCAGAGTGGAGACACAACACGGGGAGACAGCGGTGAAGACGCGCAGCCACAACCCACGGGAGAAGAACGTCGGGCACGTCGGCCTTCCGCTCCAGGGGAAACCCCGTGGTGTAGCGCGTGTAGTCGTCGAAGAGCACAAGAAAGTAGCGTTCACCGCGCGGTCCGGGGACGGGGGCTGGGCCCCAAACGTCTAGGTGCAAGGTCTGAAGTGGAGCAGTAGCAGGGCGAAGCGAGGAGGAGTGAGGGGCACGGCGGAGCCGGCCCTCGACGCAAGGCGTGCACGGTGGCGCAGTCGAGGGGGGAAGTGCGGGGAGCGACGCGGGGAGGCCGAAGACAAGTCCGTGCTGAGACATGTGAGGCAGACGCGGGAGAGCAGGGTGACCTAAGCGGTGGTGCCACAAAAGAGACGGGTGAGTGAGGGACCGACACGAGCAAGCAGCAGCGACTTGGGAGGACGCACCAACCGGGGGGGAAGCGGTGTCGAGGGTAAACAGACCGGACACCAGGTCCCGCGGGAACGTCGCAAGGGGGGAACTTGAGACAGCCTCGGTACAGACAGCGAACCGCTCGTGCCCAGGGAACGTAGTGGTGACGCCGAGGTCCTGAAGACAGCCGACACCCACCTGGTTCCTGGAGAACGAGGGAACGTGGAGGCCTGTAAGGGAGCCTGAGGGAACGGCTGGACAGGGAAGGGAAGTGGAGCTGCGAGCGACGACAGGACCCGCAGAGGGGTCAGCGAGAGCGACAACAGCAGGCGCGGCAAGCGGGCGGGCAGGGCGGGAGCTAGGGGCCAGGGTAGCGCGACGGGGCCAGGGGGGCGCGACAGGGCCAGGCGGGTGCGACGGGGCTAGGCGGGTTCTACAGGCTGGGCGGGCGCTAGGGGCCAGGGTGGCGCGGAGGGGCCAGGCGGGCGCGACGGGGCGGGCGGAGCCAGGAGGGCGCGACGGGGCCAGGGGGGGGGGCGTTTGAGGGCCGGGCGGGCGCGTGATCTAGGTAGGCGGGGGGTAGGCTAGGGCGTGGGCGGAAGTGGGTGGGTGGACCTAACCTACGCGTGATATCATGTTAGAATGCAAGAATAATTGACTAGTGTGAGAAACTTAGAACATATACCTGTTGGGGTTGTACTCACTAGAAGCACAAACCTAGGCTAGCCTGTAGCTTCTACATACATCATATGTATAAGTTGACACTTCAGCCAATCACTGGCATTTCAACTGCTTTAGGCAATCGCAAGGCTCGTTATTGAAAGTCGGCGCCAGTTCGTGAAGGATAATTCAGAATGTGCCTCAGACTTTTTTTCATAACTACTGATTGATCAGCGATTTTTTTTTAGGTAAGGCTGAAAATTTCAGCATTTTTTTCAGGGGCAAGGCTGCAAAATCAGCCTAAACGCAGGGGGCAAGGATGATAAATCAGCGTGACCCTAAACCAATCTTAGGGCCTGCTCTAGCAGCCACACACCAGCCTTAAGCTGTGAATCTCGAACATTGTGAGACCCTCACAGGTGCATGAACAAGGGTACGGTAGGTACAAATGGAATCATGGCATCCCCTAGCAAGTGCACCAGCCCCTCAACCATCACACCCACATTCTCCCCCTCTTCACCACTTGACGTCCCCTGCCCCTGCCCTCCCTTCTCAGCGCTCCCCACCCCTGCCAGGGCTGCTAGAGCGCCCTTGGTGCGTTCGTCCTCCACCTCATAGTCCCGCCCGCCCCCATTTTCACTGCGCACCACCACCGGCCCCACCGCCCCCACGCGCTCCGCTACGCCCCACATCCTCCCCGCGCCGCCCACCTCCCACTCGCTGCTGTCGCCGTCGTCGTAGCCCCCCTCGTCCAGCCCCATGCCCCCGTACCCCCCCAGCCCCCCCAGCCCCGCGTACCCGCCGAACCGCTGCTGGCGGCGTTGCAGCGCAGGGAAGAAGAGCAGCAGCGCCGCCTCCCTGCCTGCCTGCGCGTATGGGAGAGGAGGCGGCAGCGGGGGCACGGTGCGCACCGCAGGCACGGCCACCCGAGGACTGGCAGCAAGCCTCAACCCCCTTGGAGGCAGCTTTGCCCTTCCTGACACTCCCCCACCCGCCCATGCTGCTCCCGCTGCTCCTGTTGTGTCTGCCCCGCCACGTGTTGTGTCTGCCCTGCCACTTGCCTGTGCACCCGCATGCGCACCTCTCTGCCCACTGCCTGCTGCAGTTCCCGGCTCTCCCCCCTCCAGCAGGGCGCGCAGCACCGCTGGCTGGTACAGCCGCAGGTGAGGCGCCACCGCCACTGATGCCGCATGCTGGGAGAAGAGGACGGGTGAGGAAAGGGATGAGAAACACGGGGAGAATGAAGACTTCCACGGCCGCAGTAAGAGGGAAAACTGCCCGTGTCATTACACACGGGCCGCAGTAAGAGGGAAAACTGTCATACGTGGTGAGGCTCAGGTGAAAAGACCACGGGCGGGTTGCAAGAGGATCACTGAGACTAGCAAGGCAGCAGTCCCCACAAGAAGCAGCTCACAGTGTCCACAGCAGTCATCACGCAGCAGAACAAGCCAGGACAGCAGAAGCAGCCGTCCCTGCCATGCGAAGCCAAACACGAATCCAAGAACATCAGCTTCATTCCAAGAGAACACCCATCCCCATCCGCCCTCACCTGCACGGCTCCCATCCGCCCTCACCTGCACGGCTCCCATCCGCCCTCACCTGCACGGCTCCCATCCGCCCTCACCTGCACGGCTCCCATCCGCCCTCACCTGCACGGCACCCATCCGCCCTCACCTGCACGGCTCCCATCCGCCCTCACCTGCACGGCAAGCATCCGCCCTCACCGGCACGGCTTCCATCCGCCCTCACCTGCACGGCTCGCATCCGCCATCACCTGCACGGCTCCAATCCGCCCTCACCTGCACGGCTCCCATCCGCCCTCACCTGCACGGCACCCATCCGCCCTCACCTGCACGGCTCCCATCCGCCCTCACCTGCACGTCAAGCATCCGCCCTCACCTGCACGGCTTCCTTCCGCCCTCACCTGCACAACTCCCATCCGCCCTCACCTGCACGGCACCCATCTGCCCTCAGCTGCACGACACCAATCCGCCCTCACCTGCACGGCAAGCATCCACCCTCACCTGCACGGCAAGCATCCGCCCTCACCTGCACGGCTCCCATCCGCCCTCACCTGCACGGCACCCCAGACGCGCCATGCCTCGTGCTGCTTGGCAGAGGCGGGTGGGGAGGCGGGGCGCATGGCCTCCCCCATCTCGGCCTGCAGCAGACGCACATACAGCGGCAGGTTGGGCAGCAGCAGCACACGCACCTGATGGGGGGCGGGGGTGACAGGGGGGTGTTATGATAGCAGCGGGCAAAGTGTGTTGGTGGCGGACAAGGGGAAGAGTGGGGAAGGAGAGTGAAGGACAGTGGCATAAAGAGGCAGCAACGGCACAGGGTGGGAGACATGAAGAGTGGGCGAGGATGCTGCGATGGGGCACGAGGATGCTACCATGGGGCACAAGGACGCTGCCATGGGGCACGCGGATGCTGCCATGGGGCACGAGGATGCCATGGGGCAGGAGGATACTGTAAGAAAATGGGACTTTGATTGATTAAAATGAGAGAGGGCATACAAGCTTAAGTACTAACCATAGGAGAGGGTTGGAAGGGATAAGGGGAATCGGAGGGAATCCCAGGGGAATCGGAGGGAATCCCAAGGGAATCCTCCCAAATCGTGGGGATTTGGGATGGATTGGGTTGGGATAGGTTGGGGATAAAAAGGCTACACCCAACCTAACAAACATTCCTAACCCTAAACAAACAAATGACTAACACACAAAGGTGCAACATTGCAGCCTATCTCCAACACACCCCCTAGGCTGCAACGTCTGAAGTCATCGGGACGCCAAGATGCATAGCACGAAGGAGGCGGTAGCGGTCACGGCGTCCAAGAGACTTGGTGAACAGGTCTGCGAGGTTAAAGTCACAAAAAATGTGCTTCACCCACAAGTGGCCACGCTGGGCCAACTCGCGCATAAAGAAGTCCCGAAGCTCGATATGCTTGGTCTGATAGTGGAAGACAGGGTCTTTGGTAAGGTGTATAGTGCTCTCGTTGTCACACCATAGGGTCGGGGTCCGCTGAGGATACTCGAGCTCAGCCATGAGGTAGGTAAGCCATCGGACTTCTTGGGCTGCCATGGTGCCTGCGTACAGCTCTGCTTCGCAACACGACAAAGAGACGGACGATGAGCGTGTAGATCGCCAGCTGATGACACCACTACCAAGGGTGAAGCAATAGCCCTGGGAGGAGCGTCGGTCAGCTTGGTCGTCAGCCCATGAGGAGTCACTGTACCCCTCGAGGAGAGGAGGGGACATGCCGCCGAGAGTGAGGACAAAGTCCTTGGTGGCTTGAAGGTAGCAAAGGACACGCCTAGCAGCTGCAGGGGAAGCGGCATAGCCACTGACTTGGCTTCGTCCATGTGTCGCATGACTCTTGGTAACAGAAAAGTACCAAGAATGCATGGGACAGCGCGGAAGTTTGGGGGTAAGAATAGAGTGTAGTTTTTCCTGTAGATAGGGTTATGCGATTGTGGGTTTGGATATACAGTATCGAAGTCAAGGATAGGCGGTTGGCGCTGAGGCCGACAGTTGGGATGGTGCGAGAGCTGACGTCATCCAGGTCAGCAAGGGTGAAAGCGACACGGAGAGCAGGCATGCAGAGAGGGGATTGGTGCAGGGATGGCGCAATTACAAGGGGCCATCACGGGGGAGAAAATCCCGAAACGGCGTGCGGCTAGAGCAGTTGGGAGGGAAGGGTTCGGCCCAGGATGCCTCCACTAGTGAGGGAGAACAAAACCAAGGCCGAGCTATCGCTTCATCACTTTGTTTGTTCTCTCGTACACCGTGGGAAAACTTGTATGCCTTGTTGCTAGTGGAAGCATTCCCGGACAAATGTTAGATCCACGATGAGGATAGATAAAGGAGAGCTAAGGAGACGAGGGGATAGCGAGTAGACCTCGGGATCTTTTTCTTGAGAGGATGCAGCAAGAGGTAATAACCTACAAAAGACGCCAAGGGCAGAAGGTGAAGGATCCAGGGTAACTAGTACCAGGAAGAAAAAGGGGGAAGCGAGCCAAGGGGGAAGGAGTGTGTGCGACACATGTCGAAGCGCTTGAGGACATTGCTCACGTAGAACTCTTGGGAGAGAGTAATGGTTTGGGCTTCACGATTCCGCGTGATTTACATCTCAAGGTAGTTCTTGAGTTCGCCGAGATCCTTCATCGCGAGCGCGTCCCCTAGAGCTTGCTTGACTGCTGCCAGCTGATCGGATTCCTTGGAGACGAGGATCATTTCGTCAACATAGACGAGAATGAAGAACGGCTTCTCGTTCTTGCGAATGAAAAGGCTCGGATCGGCGGCAGAAGGATGAAAGTCGAGTGACTCGAGGGTGGCCTTTAGCTTCTTATGCCATTAGCGAGGAATGAGGATTGCCACCCCCACAGCAGTTTTGTTGAGGAAGCGGTCATTGAGGTATTCCCAGATGGCATGGGCGAACGGGTAGTTATGATACGTTTTGACTAGCTCGGAAGGAGTGGTGCTGACGAACACGCCAATGATAGCAGCGTCGGCCTGCTCCCACACACTGTAAGTTTTCTCGTACTTGGTTGTCACATCTTCGTGCGCATTGGACTCTTCTTCAGTGGCATTCGCCGGGAGTTCCTTGGGTAGAGTGGGCATCTTCCCTTTGCCGCGGTTGAGCAGGACATTCTTAAGACAGATACCTTCGACCTTGCGGCTCAAAAGGTGCTTGTCGATGCCGTAGCTCCATTCCTTGAAATCGGGGCTTGTGCCGTTGGGGTCAAGGCGCAGCGGAGTGATTGGGGCACCAAGGGACGCAGAGGGGAAGGCCATGGTGTAAAGGGCCCCTTTCTCCTGCGCGGAGCGCAACTCTTAAGTCGCCGAACAATGACGCTTTTCCGAAGCGGATTTTCAATGCTCGATTTGTCGGAACTGAATAGGAAACGAGCTGTCCGGAAAGTCACGAAATAGTGATTAAATATGCAGCTGCTGTACTGCTACGCCGCTGCACCCGCTGTTGCACCCGCTGCTGCTAAACTGCTGCACCCGTTCTGCTTCGCCGCTCAGACCCCCTGCCGTTGCAAGGGCGACGGGCGGCAGCCCGTTCAGCTTCGACGCGCAGATGCAGGGCGACGGGCGACGGCCCAAGACAGGTGCGATGAGCAGATGCGGGGCGACGGGCGGCAGCCCGACGTAAGGTGATGTGCAGATGCTGGGCGACTGGTGTCTGCCCGAAGAGAAGTGACGCGCAGATGCAGGGCGACGGGCGGCGGCCCGAAGAGAAACGCCGTGCAGATGCGGGGCGACGCGCTGCGGCCCGAAGAGAAGAGCTGCGCAAATGCGGGGCGACAGGCGTCAGCCCGAGGAGAAGCGCCACGCAGATGCGGGGCGACGGGCGTCAGCCCGAGGAGAAGCGCCGCGCAGATGCGGGGCGACGTGCGTCAGCCCGAAGGGAAGAGCCGCGCAGATGCGGGGCGACGGGCGTCAGCCCGAAGAGAGGAGCTGCGCTGATGCGGGGCGACGGGCGTTAGCCCGAGGAGAAGCGCCGCGCAGATGCAGGGCGACAGGCGTCAGCCTGAGGAGAAGCGCCGCGCAGATGCGGGGTGACGGGCGTCAGCCCAAAGAGAAGAGCCGCGCAGATGCGGGGCGACGGGCGTCAGCCCAAAGAGAAGAGCCGCGCAGATGCGGGGCGACGGGCGTCAGCCCGAAGAGAGGAGCTGCGCTGATGCGGGGCGACGGGCGTCAGCCCGAGGAGAAGCGCCGCGCAGATGCGGGGCGACAGGCGTCAACCCGAGGAGAAGCGCTGCGCAGATGCGGGGTGACGGGCGTCAGCCCAAAGAGAAGAGCCGTGCAGATGCGGGGCGACGGGCGTCGGCCCGAAGAGAAGAGCCGCGCAGATGCGGGGCGACGAGAGTCAGCTCGAGGAGAAGCGCCGCGCAGAGTTGAGGCGGCTAGAAAAGCTTTGCGTCGTAAGACGCAAATGCTAAGCTCCAACGGAGCGAGAGGATCAAGAGCCGCTTAGGCGGAAACGAGCTCTGATACCATGTAAGAAAACGGGACTTCGATTGATTAAAATGAGAGAGGGCATACAAGCTTAAGTACTAACCATCGGAGAGGGTTGGAAGGGTTAAGGAGAATCGGAGGGAATCCCAAGGGAATCCTCCCAAATCGTGGGGATTTGGGATGGATTGGGTTGGGATAGGTTGGGGATAAAAAGGCTACACCCAACCTAACAAACATTCCTAACCCTAAACAAACAAATGACTAACACACAAAGGTGCAACATTGCAGCCTATCTCCAATAGATGCTGCCATGGGGCACGAGGATGCTGCCATGGGGCACGAGGATGCTGCCATGGAGCACGAGGATGCTGCCATGGGGCACGAGGATGCTGCCATGGGGCACGAGGATGCTGTCGTGGGACACGAGGATGTTGCCATGGGGCACGAGGATGCTGCCATGGGGCACGAGGATGCTGCCATGGGCACGAGGATGCAGCCATGGGGCACGAGGATGCGGCCATGGGGCACGAGGATGCTGCCATGGGGCACGAGGATGCTGCCATGGGGCACGAGGATGCTGCCATGGGGCACGAGGATGCTGCCATGGGGCACGAGGATGCTGCCATGCGGCACGGGGCACGTGGCATGTGGCCTGTGGCGTGTGGCATGCGGCATGTGGCATTGGGGCATGTGGCACGTGATGTGAGGCGTGTGGCATGTGGCGTGTGGCATGGCATGTGCAAGTGTGTGGCATGCCACGCTGATGTGGTATGGGATATGGGCGCGTGTGGTATGGGATGTGGGCGCATGTGGTATGGGATGTGGGCGCGTGTGGTATGGGATGTGGGCGCGTGTGGTATGGGATGGGGCGCGTGTGGTATGGGATGTAGGCGCATGTGGTATGGGATGTGGGCGCGTGTGGTATGGGATGTGGGAGCGTGTGGTATGGGATGTGGGCGCGTGTGGTATGGGATGTGGGCGCGTGTGGTATGGCGTGCGAATGTTCCACGGCATGTGGGAGGGAGCATGTGGCGTGCATGTAGCCATCATCTCACCACTCTGGGTCCCAGTGCGGTGAGAGCGCGAATGGCGCCATAGTGTTGGGGCAGGGAGCGCTTGGGGTCCAGCAAGGTGTGCAGCAACGTGCGCGTCAACCGCGGCTGCAATGACGCATAGGTTCCGCCGACCCTGGGCAGCACGCACACAGGCGAAGCACAGCAACGCACAGGCAATGCATGACCGTGGCACGACAGGGAGCGACGGCACAACGAACCCATAGAGGTAGGTGGAATGGCAGCTACGATGTGCTTCCATGGCTGGTGGAGGCAGCGGGATCACATGTGGCAGCGGGATCACCTGTGGCAGCGGGATCACCTGTGGCAGCAGGATCACCTGTGGCAGATGAATGCGAGCAGCCATGCGGTGAACGCTCTCAGCTGCCAGTGCCCCTCGTGCTGCCGCGAGCCCAGGCGCTTGGCCACCACACACGTGACCACGGCCGGCATCACCTGGTGCAGCTGGTGGGACAGGCACAGGGGGAAGGGGGAGGGAGGGGAAGGGATGGAGTAACACATACATATGGCTTCATGTGCATGCACTGACGTACATATGGCTTCGTGTGCATGCACTGACGTACAGATGGCTTCATGTGCATGCACGGACATACATATGGCTTCATGTGCATGCACTGACATACATATGGCTTCATGTGCATGCACTGACATACATATGGCTTCAAGTGCATGCACTGACGTACATATGGCTTCATGTGCATGCACTGACATACATATGGCTTCATGTGCATGCACTGACATACATATGGCTTCATGTGCATGCACTGACATACATATGGCTTCATGTGCATGCACTGACGTACATATGGCTTCATGTGCATGCACTGACATACATATGGCTTCATGTGCATGCACTGACATACATATGGCTTCATGTGCATGCACTGACATACATATGGCTTCATGTGCATGCACTGACATACATATGGCTTCATGTGCATGCACTGACGTACATATGTTAGGAATGGGTAACTTGAAGAAGTGTTTGATAATGATAGGAGAGAGGTTTAGATAGTTTGGAGAAGGATGGGAGGGAGCATCAGTTCATTTCTCATCTGCTTGCTGGTGGCGGGAGAGAGAGGAAAGAGCCCCTGAGCCTTGCTCCTGAGCCTATATAAGCTCCCCCTGTTTACTGAGTCCTTGTTTAGTTCTCAGTTCATTTCTCATCTGCTTGCTGGTGGCGGCTCGCGCCGGCAGCCTGCGGCCACCGTCGCTCGTGGCGCGGCCTGCGGCCGCGCGTTAGGGGATGGCAAGAATCTTCAGACCGGCCATTGTTACAACCAGGACATACAAGCGGGCCCTCTAGGCGGTTTTACAGAATGGGGGTCCCCGCGGGGGGCCCAGGCGTTTGTTAACCATGCAGGTACCCACGCTAGACGAGCTGGCGGGGCGACTAACGCCCGCGGACCAGCACTACGCCAGTCGGCGATCTCCAGCTACCTCGGTGCGCGGAGATCTTCCAGCACACAATACACGGCGCGCTCCAGCTCCCGGAATACTGACACGGCGCTGTCGATTACTTCTAAGGCTTGCGCCACTTCCAGCTTTCCCTCCAGATCCGCCAGGACGACGGCGGGCCCCACCGGCAGCGGTATTCCCTGAGCGAGCCCGGGCCACGCGGCGGTCAATGCCGCCCTCGCCGCTGCCGTCTGCGTCGCGCACGCTACAGCCTGCCTCTCCGACAGCATGCCCTCCTGGTCAGCACAGCCGAGCGCGTACCCCGACACCGTCACCATCGTCGTCAAGTGCGCGAGGCAGTCCCTGGCTGAGTCCCGACGGCGCATCGTGTCCTCCGCCGCCGCCCGAACCGCTGTCTCCGTCGCGGGCTGCCCGCTCATTGCGCACCGGCCTCATGCACGAATCACCGTAGGCACGCGCGCAAGCACCCGAGCGACAACTTCGTCGACGCTCGGGGAACGGGCCGGCGAGCTCCCTCGCTGCGCCTGCGGGGCACGCTGCGGGGGACGCGACGGCCTCCGCGACCCGCGCAGGCGCGTATCGCGCACCGGCAGACGGCAGGGCGGGCTCCGCCACTCGGGGGTCCGCGAGCGGTAGCGCGGCTCTGGGGACCGCGCGGGCCAGCAATCACCTGCCCGCCGATCGTACAGTCGTTCCGGAGATCGCCCCCGCCCATATGACCGTGACGACGCCATCGCGGGGAGGCGTTCGTTGGTGGACTCCGCAGGGGCGTTCCCGACGGGCGCCGATGGCTAGCGCCGCGTCGACGCCGGGGGACCGTGGACGGGGACGGTGAGGAGGAGGGAGGAGTATAGCTCGGGGACGTGCAGGTGGCACCTTCGCCCAGGCTGTTCGCCGCAGATTGGCGGACGCGGCTGTTATCTCGGGGGCGGAGGCCAGGGCGGAGAACCCTAGCAGGGTGGAGTTTAGACTAAGGGAGTCACCGGCTGGAGGAGAAGGCGCTGCTGCTGGGAATGGCGAGGAGGGTTCGGGTGACTCTAGATATACCCCTTCTTCCGAGGGGGACTCCGAGTCTGTGACTGGGGAAGACAGTGCTGCAGAAGGAGGGGGCCCGAGCTGCCCTGAGCCAACGAAATGCGGAATTCGAGGATTTTCCGAACCCGAATCCCCAATTTCTCTCGCCCGAGGCGCTGGCGGCCCGGGATGATCTTTTCGCCCAGGTTGCCAGCTGGGATATCGCTCCCCTTCGCGATAGTCGCCAACCCCCTCTTGCCCGCCACCCACCCCGCCACATTCGGGACCAGTTCGCCAGCTGTCTACTGACCCCGCTTCTCCGATTGGCCAAGGACTCTGACTCGGTGCCAGCTTGGCGCCTTCTGATATTCCTTGCCCGCTTTACCCTCCGCGTTGGCACAGCCCGCAAGCCTGATTGGCCCTCCGTCGAGCGTCGTCTGGACTCATTTCGCCGGGGTTCCTGACAGACCTTTATGCCGAAGCTGCAGCCGCCATCACTCTCCCACCCCCCCAGCGCAACAGGCCTGACAGGACTGGGATTCTGTCCCGTGCCACAGGCTTAGCTAAGTGCGGGAACCTTGGCAAAGCACTTCAGGCGCTGGAAGCCACCCCGGTCAGCCCTTCCACAGCCGAAACGCTTTCCGCTCTCCATTCTCGCCACCCACCCGCCTCAATCGACATCCCAGAATGGGTCCTCTCACACGACCTCGAGCGTAAGCCCCCGATCTCAGCGAAGTCATTTCGCCGCATCATAAGCCAGCTTCCTAATGGCGTAGGAACTGGCCCCTCGGGGACGTCCTTCAAAGTCCTGCGCGACGCGGTGCTTCACAACTCCGACATCTGCGACCACCTGCTGGCTCTCACGAACGCGGCCCTCGCTGGTGCCCTTTGCCCCGAGGCCTCCGCGCTGCTCACCTCCTCGCGCCTCCTCGCTGCAAACCTTCTCAAAGCCTGGTGGCGGCACTTGGCCCATTGCTGTCGGCGAGTGCCTCCACCATCTAATTGCCAAAGCCGCGCTCCACCTCGCCACGCGGCCTGCCTAACTCCACTTCGCCCTCATTCAGTTCGGAGTCGCCATCCCCGGCGGCGTGGAGGTGATAATCCACATCACCTGCGCCTATCTTGACATCAACTTGGGGCACATCGCTCTCCAAATCGATGTTTCAAACGTGTTCAACGCGATCAAGCGCACCGCCGTCTTCGCGGGGCTCCGCGGCACACCCTTGGAGTTCCTCGTCCCCTTCGTCCGGCTCACTTACGGTGGCCCCTCCGCCCTCCATGTCGACCACGGCTTTGATTTCCCCCCCCTCGCCAGTGCACGCGAGGTCCGCCAAGGAGACCCTATGGGTCTTTTGCTGTTTGCGGCGGGCCTGCACCCCGCGCTCAAGGAAACTGCCGCCGCCTTCCCTGACGTCCTCGTCCTCACCTATGCGGACGATGTCACGCTCCTGGTTCCGCCAGCAGCGTGCTCCGCTGCCTTCGCCCACCTCACCACCGCCATTGGCGGCTGCGGCCTCCGCCACAACCCAGCGAAGTGTGAAGCCTGGGGCCCACAGGGTGTGCCACCCGAGACGCTGCCACCTGGCGTCTCCGCGTCCTCGGCAGTCCCGTGGGGCCGGTGGACGCCTGCGCCGCTGCCATCCGCGACCGCCTCGACAACGGCGCCGCCCCACTGCCATTGATCGCGGAGCTGGATCCCCAGATCGCCCTCCTCCTCCTCACCCGCTGCCTCACCCGCCGCACCAGTTACCTGCTCCGCTCGACCCCCCCGGAGTGCCTCCCCCAGGCGGAGTGGGACGCCTGGGGCGAGCGGCTCTTCCACACGGCGTTGGTTGCCTGCCGTTTGCCGCTCCCCCACGCGAGAATCGAGAGGCGGCGGGTATGGACGCAAGCCTCCCTCCCAACCACCCTCGGTGGGCTTGGGATTTGCAACCCTGCTGCGGAGGCTGGAGCGGCATATCTCACCTCCATGGCCGCTGCTGCGCATTTTCTCAGTGCCCTCCTTCCAACCCTCCCCGCTACGCTGGGCCAGCTCCTGCCCCTCTTCGACCCCGACCCGGCCGCTCCAGCCCCTCTGCCGCGTCGGCTAGCCGCGCTGGAAGCCGCCCTCCCGGATACTGCTGCCGAGCTGTTTCGGGAAGAGCGGGCTTCCCCCGACCCACGCAAGCTGCAGCGGGCTTTGGCTCTGCAGGTCCAGGCGGAGCGCTTCACCACGCTCCTGCAGGAAGCCTGCCAGCTGCCCCTGAACCAACTCCAGGGGCATACCCAGCGCCTCCTCTCCCTTATGGGCCCAGGGGTGGGGGATTGGCTCCACGCCTTCCCCCTCTCCCCCTCCCTGCGCCTCTCCCCCGGTCACTTCTCCACCGCCGTCGCCTTCCGCCTCGGCCTTCCTCACACTACGCCGGGACGCTGTGATTGCTGGCGGCGTGTCGACATCCAGGACCCCCGACTCCCCAACCACCTTCTCAGGTATGACACGGGCCCTGGACGTACCAGCACGCACCACGCCCTCCGTGATGAGTGCGCTCGGATCGCCCTCGAGGCAGGCTTCATCACCCGCTCCGAGACCAACCTCTTCACCCGCGTCACGAACCTCTGGGCGGATGTGGCGATCCGCCACCCCGAATCGGGGGCGGTTTGGATCTGTGACGTGACCGTCACCGACCCCATCTCGAAGGAGGACGAGCATGCCCGTCGCGGTACTGGGTGGGCAGTCCGAGTCGCCGCCCACGGGAAGGAGCGTAAGTACCGCCCGCCTGCCCGCCCCGAGTGGGTCGGATTTTATGCCCTGGCCGCCGAGACCTACGGGCTCACCTCCCCGGGGGTCTTCCGCTTTCTCCGCGCCTGTGCCGAGCTGGCGGCAAAACGCCGTTACGACGCTGCACCTTCCTCCCGCGAGGCCGCCAAGCTGTTCCACGAGTACCGTCAACGTTGGTCGGTCACTCTGCAGCGCAGGCAGGTCGTCGCCGTCAACACGAAGATCAACCAGGCCCTCGCGGCTGAAGAGAGCCCGCTGGGTTTCCCCGCGGAGCCCCTCCCGTGGGTGACCTGCTGCAGGCTTAGGTGCTACAAACGCTCTGGCAGACGCGCGTTTAGCGTTCAAACGCTTGCGTTTGAACGCAAACGCCAAACGAACCCTAAAACGCAAACGCTCGCTGGTTTTTTTTTTTCAGGCTGCCCCCTGGAAAAAAAAATCGAAAAAAATTGGGGCGAAATTGAGACTTGGCGAATTCAGCCCGACATTTACCAAGTCCCAACTCCCAACCATCTGGTCAATATTCACCTCCCAACCAACTCCCCCCCCCCCAACCGCACTCCACACATCGTCAACTAGAGCTTCCAACCCCTCCTCCTCACATCTCGTAGTTTCACGCAAACTCCCAATCTCCTTCCCCCGTCAGATCTGCTTTCTAATTGCCGCGCGCCATAGCCGTAGCAACTTTCACACCCCACGCAATACCTTAACTTAAGGGCGCTCGCCCATGTCAACCCCTAAGAGCGATGCGGATGTTGAGCGAGCGATGCCGGAAGCAGTACGGCAGCGGCAGCAGGTGAAGGAGGGGGGTATGTTGATGGAGCAGTGGTGGACTTGGCATGGAACAGATTACCCCGAGCTCGCAGAGCTGGCTTGCCGTGTGCTCACGCAGCCGGTGTCCGCGTCTAGCTGCGAGCGCGCTTGGTCTATGTGGGAAGCTGTGCACACGGCGCGCAGGAACCGGCTGGGTTCCGAGAAGTGTAGGGACCTCGTGTATGTTGCGCACAACTGGCATGTTGTGCGCAACTGGCACAAGTCCCTCGACGGGACTACACGCGTGCTCACCGGGAACATCCCGGCGGCTCCCATCCCCAAAGGCTACAATGTTGATGCAGAGGGGGAGTTAGAGGATGATGAGGAGGGGATTGACCCCGTGCTCGCGGACGAGTACGGGGAGGAGGAGTGGGTGGGTGCGGAGTAGCATGGACAGATAGGTAGAGGGCACGAAGCAGTGTTGGGGAAGGGCGGGGGGGGAGTGGTTGTTGTGTTTGGGGAGGGAGAATGGGCTTTAGGACACGTGTTTTGCATGACATTTGAGGATGCTTGCATAAATGTTAATGACGGATTTGTTTTTCTTGGACAAAATGGTTGCTTGCAGAACCCCCATTTCCCCACCCCCCCACAGGAAATTTTTACACCTGCCCGGGCAAATTTTTTAGCCCTGCCCGAGCAAGCGTTTGCCTAGCGTTCACATACACTATGACAAGCGTTTAGCGTTCAAACAAGGGTTGAGCAAACTACCCGCCCGGGTCGGGTACCCGGTACCCGGACCCGCTTTTAGGGCGGGTCGGGTATCGGAAATCCTGAAAATTACCCGGCGGGTCGGGTACGGGTTACCCGGGGCGGGTATCAATACCCGCTACCCGAAATGCTACCCGACGCGTCGGGTAGCGGGTACCCGACCCAAAATCGGGTAGCGGTCTACCCGACGGAACCAGCGAGACATTAGTCGCGCTGGTAGAGAAATTTCATCAAATTTCTAGGTTACGTGAGCTGCTAGGTCACTTAGAGCATTGTAGATTGGCAGGGGTTGGGTTTCGTAGATACACATGCATTCAAAGTGGTTGAATTGGGGGGAATTGGTTGGAAGTCAAACCAATCGAATTTCCCCTATCGAATTTGCAACCCAACCTGAATCCACCCAACCGCACAGCACCACATTGGTTGGAGTTCCAACCAATTGACTCTGGGGGTCAAAGAATCAAACCCCCAGAAAGCGCACACAACCCCATTCCAACTAGAAAACCCAACCAACTCCCCACTCAGGCCCCACTCACGACCCACTCACCACACCAGAACTGTTAAAGATTTGGCGCACCTCATACTCCCTCCCGCAGCTCACGTTTTTTGAAGCACCATCTAGGTCGTAGGCTTAGTAGCCCAACAGGGTAGAAAAACGCGGGTAATACTACCCGCTTTTCAAGGAAACCGGGTCGGGTATACCCGGACCCGCCAGGCGGGTATTAAATTACCCGCCCCCAAATCCCGGGTCTGGGTATTGGTCCTGGGCATGTTACCCGATCCGTACCCGACCCGAAAATACTCGACCCGAAAATACCCGACCCGAAGTCGGGTATAGCAAAACCGGGTCGGGTCGGGTAAATACCCGGTTTTGCTCATGCCTAGTTCAAACGCTAGTGTTTGAACGCTAGCGTTCAAACGCCAAACGCGTTTGTAGCAACTAAGGCTGCAGGTCCTCGAGCTCGACCTTGGCGAACCTTAGGGTCGCTGTGGTCTAAGGAGCTAGGCGTTTGAAGTTGCCTGTTTTGCTTGCTGTTCTCCATCTACTACCTGCCATGCCTGTACCATACCACCTACTTAATACAAGGACAAGTTGAAGGTGAGTTGGAAAGGAGGTTGGGATTATGGTCCCCGCCAATAAGGTGGGTTGGAGGATTATTGGTGGGGCCAATGATCCCGGTGGAAGGGGACCATGAGCATTGGGGAATCCAATCATTCCAACCCAACCTTTGGGCTCCCTTAATGGCCGACAAACACTCAATCCCCAATTAGGGTTACTCCTAGTTTATGCCCTAGATAAACTAACTTGGATATAAATAGAATGATATATTTTACAACAACATATGTCACCGTGTGCACGAACTGAAACATACATATGGCCTCCATGTGCCCACACTGACATACATACAGATGGCTCCAGACAATTATTTTACCTCTATAAAGATGCTCCACATTTGTATCCCATGCTTTTGAGGTTGGGTTGTGAATCGAATGCAAGAGCGTGTGGGTGGGGAGGGAAGTGAATTCAAAGTCAAAATGCGCCTCGTTCGCGTATGTCGTGCATTGCGCGACAGCACACTACTGGGTGCGAAACATTTGTCAGGGCCGTTGCGAAACCGTAGTTCATTTCGCAAAAGCCTTGGCGAAACCCACAACAAGTGCGACTCCATAGTCGGGCGATGTCGCGCCTCAGGAAAACATTGACCAAACAAATTACACGGGTGCACACCCAACCATCGAAGATCGAAACGAAATTGGAATTTTGGCAGTTACGCCTTAGTTTGAAAAGTACGGTTTAAAAAAACGACCGTATTTTCCACCAAGCACAAAAACACGCTTTAAACCACTATTTCGAAATCATACGGCCGGATAGTATGGTACCATACCATACAGCCTAAAAATGAGAGAAAAAAAACAAAAACAAGACAAACAAAAAACAAGGACGGTTTTTCTAACCTTGTCCGTGTGCTCTCACTGACATACATATGGCTAGACATGGGCGTAATACCGAGCCGGCTCGGCTCGGAGTCGCCGAGCCGAGCCGACTTTTTTTTTGGGCGAGCCGAAGCCGAGCCGCCGGCTCGGCTCGGAGTTAGGCTTCACTGAAGCTGAAGCCGAAGCCGAGCCAAGCCGAGCCGAGCCGAGCCAAGCTGAAGCCCGGCTTGCTCTGGCCCGGCTTCAGCGCGGCTTGAAACCGCAGGGGTCAAAATGCGACCCCCCCAAAATCGCGACTCTCATTTTGAGAGTCGTTTTTTTTTACCCTAGTCTATCTAGCACCCCCCTACCTCGCCTAAGAGCCCTCTAAGCACCCCCAGCACCCGTTCTAAGATCTCCTTTCCTGTGAAGGCGAGGGGCTTGACCCCCCACGTTGTGTGCACCATGTTTAATCTAGACCCCCCACCCTGGCTTCAGGGCTTCAAAAACGAGCCGAGCCGAGCCGAGCCGAGCCGGCTCGTTTTCCGGCTCAGCTTCAGCTCGAAGCCGGCTTCAGCGAGCCGAGCCGGCCTGAGGCTGAAGCGAGCCGAAGCCGGCTCGGCTCGGCTCGGCTCAACTGAAGCCCGGCTCCGCTCGGCTCGGTGTTGCGCCCATGTCTACATATGGCTCCATGTGCTCGAACTGACATACATATGGCTCCATGTGAAGGTGCGGGTTGAGCAGCAGAGCTCGCACGAGCCGCATGAGGCTGAAAAGTAGGGGGCAGTCGTCCAACGAGCGCATCACCTGAGGGAAGGGGGAGAGGGGGAGAGGGGGTGAAGCCCGAGATGGTTGGATGCAAGAAATGGGAAACTATGCCAGCTGGGATGGGCTGGGGGTGAAAGAGGTTACGACACAGGGGAAACAAGCGAGTACCGTGGACGAAGTGGATAACAAGGGGAGAACGATAGAAAAACACCAAGGGGAGAACGATAGAAAGACACCAAGGGGAGAACGATAGAAAGACACCAAGGGGAGAACGATAGAAAGACACCAAGGGGAGAACGATAGAAAGACACCAAGGGGAGAACGATAGAAAGACACCAAGGAGAGAACGATAGAAAGACACCAAGGGGAGAACGATAGAAAGACACCAAGGGGAGAACGATAGAAAGACACCAAGGGGAGAACGATAGAAAGGCACCAAGGGGAGAACGATAGAAAGACACCAAGGGGAGAACGATAGAGAGACACCAAGGGGAGAACGAAAGAAAGACACCAAGAATGTATCTCACCTCGTCAGCAATGAAGTGCACAAAATAGGGCAGCAGGGGGTGCAGTCCGGCATCGAGCGCCACACTGCGCAGCGCATGAGACAGCAAGCTCTGCTGCTGCTGCTGCTGCTGCTGCTGCTGGGCAGGTGGAGTGGCAGCGGAGGTGGCAGGTGGAGTGGAGCGGGCAGTGAGGAGCAGCAGCTCGGTGACACGCTCAAAGTAGAGCTGCGAGGGGCGGGCGGCATGGCCAGGTGGGGTGGGTGACAGAGAGAGGGCGGGAAATGCGTTTACAAAAAGAAATCCCTCGCACAGGAGAGTTTACAGCCCAGCCTGAGGAAAGGGGGTTGCAGGTTGGTAAACAATGGGCGATACGGAGAGGCAAAAAAAAAGGAGAGTGAGAGAGTGAACTGCTGATCGTCTTTTTGGTGTGGCAGACAAAGATGGGGAGGTGAAACATAGATAGGGTGCAATGAAATAATGGGTAGGTTGAACGTGAGAGACTGGCAGAAGGGCAAGTGGATAAGAAGGACTACGGCGTGGGAGGGGAAGGAGGGAGGGTGGGCAGATGCCATCGGCATGACGAGTTTGGGGCGCTTTTGAGTTCGGCATGACTCAAAAGCTCCTTGGACAGCACGCACCTGCAGCTCCTTGGACAGCCCGCACCTGCAGCTCCTTGGACAGCACGCACCTGCAGCTCCTTGGACAGCCCGCACCTGCAGCTCCTAGGACAGCACGAACCTGCAGCTTCTTGGACAGCACGCACCTGCAGCTCCTTGGACAGCACGCACCTGCAGCTCCTTGGACAGCACGCACCTGCAGCTCCTTTGACAGCGCGCACCTGCAGCTCCTTGGACAGCACGCACCTGCAGCTCCTTGGACAGCGCGCACTTGCAGCTCCTTGGACAGCACGCACCTGCAGCTCCTTGGACAGCGCGCACCTGCAGCTCCTTGGACAGCACGCACCTGCAGCTCCTTGGACAGCCCGCACCTGCAGCTCCTTGGACAGCACGCACCTGCAGCTCCTTGGACAGCACGCACCTGCAGCTCCTTGGACTGCACGCACCTGCAGCTCCTTGGACAGCACGCACCTGCAGCTCCTTGGACAGCACGTGCTTCACCGGCATCTTCACCTCCACCACCTCCACCCTGCCTGGCCCTGCCGCCCCTCGCTGCGCGCTGGCATCTCCTGTGCGACCCGCCTCCGCCTTCACTGCTGCTGATGGTGGCATGGCTGGGGGCGAGGGAGGGAGAGAGGCAGAGAGTGTGGTGGTGGTGCAGCCAACATGGCGAGCGGACATGGCGAGCCAACATGGCGAGCCGACATGGCGAGCCGACATGGCGAGCCGACATGGCGAGCCGACATGGCGAGCCGACATGGCGAGCCGACATGGCGAGCCGACATGGCGAGCCGACATGGCGAGCCGACATGGAGAGGGTGGGAAGGAGGGCGCTCGAAGGAGAGCCAACATGGAGAGGGTGGGAAGGAGGGCCCTCAAAGGAGAGCCGACATGGAGAGGGTGGGAAGGAGGGCCCTCGAAGGAGAGCCGACATGGAGAGGGTGCGAAGGAGCGCCCTCGAAGGAGAGCCGACATGGAGAGGGTGCGAAGGAGGGCCCTCGAAGGAGAGCCGACATGGAGAGGGTGGGAAGGAGGGCCCTCGAAGGAGAGCCGACATGGAGAGGGTGGGAAGGAGGGCCCTCGAAGGAGAGCCGACATGGAGAGGGTGGGAAGGAGGGCCCTCGAAGGAGAGCCGACATGGAGAGGGTGGGAAGGAGGGCCCTCGAAGGAGAGCCGACATGGAGAGGGTGGGAAGGAGGGCCCTCGAAGGAGAGCCGACATGGAGAGGGTGGGAAGGAGGGCCCTCGAAGGAGAGCCGACTGTTGTAAAATATATATCTACACAACATGCATGCCTAGATTAGGAGGTGTAGTCATTATAATTATTGGGGGGTTGTTGGTTGGGTTGACCAACCCCACATTTGGGTTGGTCAAGATTGGATTTGGTCCTAGACATTTGGTTGGCACTATTCCAACCAAATGGTCCTTGGTCCTAGGACCCAACCAATCACCAAGCATCACAATTTGTGGTTGCTTGCCTTCCAAGCAATCTCTCTCATTGGTCCACATTGTGGCCAATCGGAGAGCACCACACTTTGTGGTTGCTTGCCCTACAAGCAACCTCTCCCATTGGTTCACTTTATGGCCAATAGGAGAGCTTCCCTTCCAAACTCTTCCTTGCTCCTTGTTTTGTACAAAAGAGCCTCTTGGCTCCCTACTCAATCTAATCCTTTCTCTTCTAAGCTAGTTCCTTCATGGTAATCAGAGCCACAATGGCTCTCGCCACCTCTAGTCGATCCTAAGTAGCACGGCCCTATGCCGTCCCTCCTCGTCTTCGAAGCCTAGCCCTTCCTTAGGCTACTTCCCGCGCCCCCCGTGCGCCCTCTCCCGCCGCACTATTCCGTCGCGCTCGCTCTTCCTCCCGTCGCGCGCCTTTTGCCGCGCCCGCTCTCCCTTCCGTCGTGCCCCTCCCGTCACGCCTTACGACGCGCTTTTGCCCGTCGCATCCTCCTACTGCGCCCGTTGTTGCGCTCCTCCGTCGCACGGCCCGTCGTCGCACCCGTCCGTCGCGCTCTCCGCGCGCCCGTCCGTCGTCTCTCCCCTCTCATGGACCTCCTCTTTCAGGCTGTCTTACAACAAAACACTAGCCCAACCCTGCCGTCGAGCTCCAGTACAGCGGTCCCAACAGCAGCAGCAATACCTGAAGCAGCAGTTCCACCCACTGCAGCAGCACCAACAGTTCCACCCACCGCAGCAGCACCAGCAGCAGCAGCCGTCGCTCCTTCGTCGCCTTCACCCGCAGCAGCAGCAGCGGCAGCAGCAGATGCAGCAGTAGCAGCCGCCTCAGCAGCAGCAGCAGCAGATGTATCCTCAGCAGTAGCAGCAGCTGCAGTCCTCCCATTCATTTTCCACTCCTCCCTCCTCGAGGACTCCCATGAGGAGTTCCTCAACCTCCACCTGCATGATCCAACCCTCCTACCCATCTCCCCTGACCTCAGCGGCACACCAGTCTTCGCCTTCTCCTCCGCCCTCACCATCTTCGTCCCCGCCATGTACGAGGAGGCCATGGCGTGCCCTGACGCTCACCTCTGGCTCGCGGCCATCCTCAAGGAGTTGGAGGCGTTTATTGCCAACTCCTCCTTTGTGGACGTGCCCCGCCCTCCCTCTACCACGAACGTGGTCAAAGGGAAGTGGGTGTTTCGGGTGAAGCAGCTTCCTTGCGAGCCGCCGGTCTACAAGGCCCGCTACATCGCCAAGGGGCTTCACCCAGCGCTACACTGTCGACTTCTTCGACACCTTCTCTCCCACAGCCAAGCCCGCTACCATTCGCGCAGTCCTCGACCTCGCCGCTCGCCTCAACATGGAGATTCACTCCATGGACGTCTCCAACGGATTCCTCCAGGGGGTCTTGCGCGAGCTCATTTACATGGAACATCCTGCAGGCTTCCACCTCCCCTTTCCTTCCGACTCTGTCTAGCAGCTGCGTCGGCCGGTGTATGGGCTCAAGCAGGCACTACGGGAGTGGCATGCCAAGCTTGCTGCCACCCTCGCCGAGCTTGGCTTCAGCACCTCCCGTGCTGACCCCAGCCTCTTCCTCCACACCTCCCCCTCCCCCTTCTACATCCTCGTCTATGTCGACAATATGATCCTCATCACTGCCGACTCCGCCGAGCTCGAGCGCGTCAAGCGTGAGCTTGGCAGCTGGCTCAAGTGTAAGGATCTAGGAGAGCTGCAGCACTTTCTCGGCATGGAGATTACACGCGACCGTGCTGCTCGCACCATCTCCCTCTCCCAGGGCCACTACCTGCAACAGGTCCTGGAGCGGTTCGACATGGCTCGAGGCACCCCTCAGGTCACCCCTCTTCTTGTTGGGCACCACCTCACTCCCCTCACCTCCCCCTCCTCCTCCTCCCACCCCAATGCTCAGCTCATCGGCTCTCTCATGTATGCCATGGTCTCCACCCGCCCTGACCTGGCATACCCCATCAGCGTTTTGGCCCGCTTCGTTGGTACCGGCAAGCATGATGCAGCCCACTGGCAAGCGGCCAAGCATGTCCTCCGCTACCTTCGGGTGACCAAGGACTACGTCCTTACCCTTGGCGGCCCCTCCCCTCCCCTCCTCACTGGCTACTCTGATTCCTCCTGGGCTGACTCTAGGCCTGACCGCCGCTCCTCTCAGGGCTATGGCTTCTCTCTTGGCAGCGGCCTCATCAGCTGGCGCTCCACCCGCTCCTCCTCCATTGCCTTCTCTTCCTGCAAAGCAGAGCTGTATGCCGCTACCGTGGCTGCGCAGGAGGCTCGCTGGCTCGCCTTCCTTCTTGAGGAGCTTGGTGCCCCTCAGCGCTGTCCCACCATCTGGTGCGACAACGCCAACACCATCCACCTCACAATGGATGCTGTGTTCCACGGGCGCTCCAAGCACATTGAGCTTCGCCACTACTTCATTCGCGAGCTTGTGCAGGGTGGCCACCTCCAGCTGCGCAAGATTGACTCTGCTGCCAATCTTGCCGACATCTTCACCAAAGCCCTCCCCCACACCGCCCACTCATCCCTCCTTCGCCTTCTTGGACTCGCTCCCCCCGTTCCCTCGTCCGCCTCCTGATTCAAGCCCTCTAGTCTTATGCATGTTGGGGGGTTGTATTGTAAAATATATATCTACACAACATGCATGCCTAGATTAGGAGGTGTAGTCATTATAATTATTGGGGGGTTGTTGGTTGGGTTGACCAACCCCACATTTGGGTTGGTCAAGATTGGATTTGGTCCTAGACATTTGGTTGGCACTATTCCAACCAAATGGTCCTTGGTCCTAGGAACCAACCAATCACCAAGCACCACACTTTGTGGTTGCTTGCCTTCCAAGCAATCTCTCTCATTGGTCCACATTGTGGCCAATCGGAGAGCACCACACTTTGTGGTTGCTTGCCCTACAAGCAACCTCTCCCATTGGTCCACTTTATGGCCAATAGGAGAGCTTCCCTTCCAACTCTTCCTTGCTCCTTGTTTTGTACAAAAGAGCTTCTTGGCTCCCTACTCAATTTAATTCTTTCTCTTCTAATCTAGTTCCTTCACCGACATGGAGAGGGTGGGAAGGAGGGCCCTCGAAGGAGAGCCGACATGGAGAGGGTGGGAAGGAGGGCCCTCGAAGGAGAGCCGACATGGAGAGGGTGGGAAGGAGGGCTCTTGAAGGAGAGCCGACATGGAGAGGGTGGGAAGGAGGGCCCTCGAAGGAGAGCCGACATGGAGAGGGTGGGAAGGAGGGCCCTCGAAGGAGTGCAGCCGACATGGCGAGCGGATGCACCCCGCAGTTCCAAGCGCGACATGGTGGGAAGGAGGGCCCTCGAAAAGCGACACGCACGGGTGGACGGAGCAGAGGGTGCAAGGGGCAGGTGTGGTTGAGTGTGTGAGGCTCATGCTCGTCCCACGGGCCTTATGACCAACCTGCTGCCCTGCAGTGCCACAACTGCAGCCACTTAATGTCCCCCCTGCTGTGCCCACCATAGCCCACGTCACCTGCACAGCACTGCTCCCACAAACCCAGTGCCTAGAAAAACTCCCACTGAACTGCGGACCCATCCTTTTGCCCACAAACCAGTTCCCCCTCATCATTCCCCCCCCTGCAGCACCTGCATTCCCCCCTGCAGCACCTGCATTCTCCCCTGCAGCACCTGCATTCCCCCCCCCCCCCACCTGCGGGGGGCGTGTTCTCCGGAGTGGCGGGCTGCACGCCCTCGACGGCCAGCCAGTGCGCCGCCACACTCACGTCCTGCGAGGCTGGTGGGAGGGGCGCCTCAAACACCTGCGCGTCGTGGGCAGGGGGGGTGACGGGGTGGAGGAGGGAACATGGGGAGGACGCGAGCTGGGCGGCATTGCATGAACGGGCCAGGGCAGGCGAGCACACGAGGGAGCAGTGGCGGGAGTGAAGTGCACACGGTTGGAGGGAGTCCACAAGGCACGGCGGGAGTCCACAAGGCAGGGCGGGAGTCCACAAGGCAGGGCGGGAGTCCACAAGGCGGAGTCCACAAGGGTGTGCAGCCACCTGCAATCCCCACACCCGCTGCAGCCACCTGCAATCCCCACACCCGCTGCAGCCACCTGCAACACCCACACCCGCTGCAGCCACCTGCAATCCCCACACCCGCTGCAGCCACCTGCAATCCCCACACCCGCTGCAGCCACCTGCAATCCCCACACCCAACCTGGGGGAGCGGTAGCAGGTGGCGGCCGTGCACCTGTCTGAGGTCGAGGGGCTGGTCGCACCTGTCTGAGGTCCACTGGTTGGTCGTGCAGGAAGAAGACGTCGCTGTGCCCCATGGCGCGGCGGAACCGCATGCTGTCCGCTGAGGCAAACCCAAACAGCGGCTGGGGGAGGGGAGGAGAGGGGGAGGGGGGAGGGGAGGGGAAAGGGGGGGGGGGGGTGGGGGGGTGGGGGGGTAGGGGGCGTTTCGAGGGCATGCGAGGCATGCGTTAAAGTGGGCATTTGGGCCTCCAGAGAGGCTTTGTGCTCGGCGCATAGAACACGGCATGCGTGAGCTCACCCCTCCACCTCGCCTCCGTACTCCCTCCACCACCTCACCCACCCACTGCATACCTCCCCTCACCCACCGCTTCCCCCCCCCCTCACCTCCACGTTCCTGAGGCTGAGAGCTCACCTCCACGTTCCTGAGGCTGAGAGCGGCGGCGATGTCAGCCGTGGTGAGCGTGGTGCGCTTGCCGTGCCGCATGCACTTCACCGCCTCCTGTGGCGGGTGACGGGTGGCGGGTGCACCGCATGGCACGGGAGGGGAGGGGACGGGGACACACGTGAGAGAGAGCCGCCAGTGCGCAGAGTTGGTTGCGGCATGGCGAGCGCATGCGCGCTGCTGGAGTCGCGGCTGTGGACCGGGGGGCAACGCGATGCTTCAGAGCGCAGCAAGCACGCCCCGAGTAGCGCGAGAGGTGAATAGCACCGGAGACAGTGTGGGGGGCATGAAACGGACTGCAGGGCTGTGAGAGAGAGTGCTGTGCCAGTCTACGTGCGCAACAGCGCGTGACTAGCACGGGCACACGCCGCGTCATCACCCAGCACCCGCGCCTTCCGCGCATGTCCTGCGCGCGTCCCTGTGTTCCACCATGCCCCCCCCCCCCCCAACCAACCCCCGGCCTTGCCTGGATAATCTCGCGCATGCGGTACTCCACGTCGGGCGCCAGCGCGGCCGCCACATCATCGCCCAGGTTGGCGATGCCGATGCTGTGCGCCGCCACCTGCACGCTCTCCCGCGGCACTGCGCTCATCGCGCCCAGCCCCACTGCCGCCCGCCGCTGCTGCTGCCGCTGCTGCTGCCGCTCTGCCTGAGCGCTCACAGCCGGCTAGCGACCCTTGGGACGCCCCGACGGCAGTGAGGTGAGTGGACGCTCGCAACTCGAGACAGGCGCCGACGAGCACGCACGTGCGACGAGCGACTAGCGCTGCCTCGAGGTGCCCTTGCCCGCTCCGCAGCAACGCATGGCGCCACGTACTGCAGCAAATGTGGACGCACACTTCTCACGCGGGAGCGGGGGCGAGGGGCATCGGAGGGCCAGGAACGGGGGAAACTTTTGAGTCGACTCAAGAGGGCCAGGAACGGGGGAAACGGAGGGCAAGCGAAGGGGGGAGCGAGGGCAGGAGGGGAGAAGCGAAGGGCAGTGAGAGGTGGCATGGCGTGCGAGGAAGGGGGTGGGGCCATGGGTAGGGAGTGGGGAACGCGTGAGGAGCGCAGTGAGGATAGGTACGGCGACGAGTAGGGAAGGTAAAGAGGGACGCGTACGGGAAAGAGTGTTGACGCGCGATAACGGGGCGCTTCCGCACGTGACTACCACGCGAAGCGGCGAGTGGAGGTGGACGGAGATGGTAGAGCGAGTCGAGACGAAAGCTGGGATTCGAAAGCAGCGCCGTTCCTCGCTAAGGTGCTGACAGCTCGAGCAAGGCACGCACTACGGGGAAGTGAGGGGAAGGTGGCGAGAGAGAGGAGAGTAACAGGAGGAAGTGACGAGCCAATACGATGTGGCGACACGCGTTCGCCGCGCACAAGTCGAGTTTGGTCCAGCAGGCGCACGTTCGCCTCTAAAACACAGGCGCAACCCACAGGTTCATAAGCCGTGAGCTTCAACACCAGCAGACACGAGGCTCCATTGAATAAAGCGCAGCACGGAGGTGAGCACTGCTGTGGCAGCGCCGTGCCACTGAGGAAATTCCGCACCTCGGGTCTGACCCGAGGTTGACCCGTGGTCGAGGGAGCCGCGGGGTTTAGTGACTCTGACGGCTACTGTTATGAATGAACAAGCAGAGTAGCGCGGAAATGAATAACGAAGTGTTGAATCACTCAATGACGATACAAAGAATGTCAAGCCAAGATATAGGAACCAAGGCTTCAGATTGGATTTTGAGGGGCTGTTGGCTCAGGGTGCCCCCAGAAGGAGCCCCCGTTTTTCAGGGCCGGGTTTTGAAAGTTGCAATTTTTTTCAGGGTAAAAAATTTCGAAGGCTGAAAAATCAGGACTGAATTTTTTCAGAGCTGAGATGATAGGTTGAACCTTGACGATTTTTTTGGGTGGGTAGGATCTTAACCTAGCACATTATGTTAGACATGGCATGTTTTGTCAGACCAAAAAAAAAATATGCCTGATTCATCAGGTACATTTTTTAGGTTTATGATCCTTAGATCATATCAGACTTCATTGCGTACAAATTCTCACACTACTAGCATGATTTTAGCCAACGACCAGTCACGCCCCTCACACCTGCTCCAACTTGCGACAGACTGCTGCGTGATTTTGGCGAAGGACCAATCACGCCCCTCACATCTGCTCCAACGAGCGTTACCTGCGTAATTTTGCCTAAGGTCCAGTCACGCCCCTCACACCTACTCCAGCTCGTGTCAAACTGCCTGCGTGATTTTGGCGAAGGACCAATCATGCCCCTCACATGTGCTCCAGCTTGCGTCACCTGCGTCATTTTGGCTAAGGACAAGACACGCCCCTCACAGCTGCTCCAGCTCGCCTCGACCAGTCAGATAGAAATTATGTTTCAGGCTGGAAATCCGTTAAGGCTGATAATTCAGGGTGACCAAAACAAGAACATACAATATTTCAGGCCTGCTCAAATAACAACCCCCAAAATTCAGGCCTAGGAAAAATCAAAAACTGAAAAAACAGGACAACCCTAAAAAAACACCCTGATATACAGCATTTCATGGCATTTTATCCTGACTTCTGAAGCCCTGATAGGAACACCAGAGCTAGTCTAACCATGAGATGTAAAGGTCTGGGAAAGAGATCAAAGGGCCTCGAAGTGACGGAACGAGGCCCGGAGAAGTCCCGAAGGTCGAACTAGAAGGTCAGGAGAAGCCGAGGCGGTTCTGTCAGAAAGGTCCGGAACCGTCCCAAGGTTTCGGGTGTGTTCGAGCGTACGCGCTAGCACTACCGCTCGGTAAAGAATGGAAAATTCCTTACACCACCCCCCCCCTTAGCGAAGGTGATCTATATCAGCCACGTGCTTGCGGGCCAAATAATTCGCAAGTATTGAAGGTGACTGTATCTGGTCCGAGGGCACCCACGTGTCGTCCTCACTGGTAAGATTGGTCCATCGTATCAGAATGTCAACGTGTCGTCCTTGGCCGTCGATACGAATCCTATGGCTCAAAATCTTCGAAGGCTCGATGGTCGTCTCTGCTGGTAGCCGTACATCCGGGACCAATCGTTGTCGAGCGATGTCCGATGTGTCAGGTACGAAGGGTCGCAACAGGCTCACGTGGAACTTGTTGTGACTACGCCAATCGTCAGGTAAGCGCAACTGGGCGGTCACCGGCGTCACCATCTTCAGATCTTGAATGGGCCACAGAAACGTGGTCGTAATTTTGTCGGTAGTGGCAACCGTAAGTTCTTGGTGTCCAAAAGGACTAGTTGCCCTGCTGCCATTGTAATATCTCGTCGATGTAAATCCGCATACCGTCGGGCAATAGCGTTCGCCTTGTGAATAAGTTCGACAGCTTTGTCTCGGACAGTCTGTAATTCTTCGACGAACTGCTGCGACCGTGGTACTTGACTCTCAACGTTGGTAGAGATAAGAACTGTCGGGTCCATCCCGTAATTGGGGTAAAACGGGGAGTGATTAGTTGTAGCTGAGGGCGCGTTGTTGTAGAAGAATTCCAATATGGGAAGCACGTCCTCCCATTTGTTTCGGTCGGGGCAGTTTGTCCGAATCAGCTGTTCCATCGTTTGGTTTATCCTCTCTGTCTGACCGTCCGTTTGAGGATGATAAGCAGATGAGAATTGCAGGCACGTGCCGTATCGAGCCCACGTGACTTGCCAAAAATTCGACGTGAACTTCGGGTCTCGATCGCTGATGATTGCTGCTGGTATCCCTTGTAGGTGAACAACGGTCGAGATGAACAATCGCGCGGTTTCTTCGGCTGTGATGGTTGTACGACATGGTATGAAATGTGCCATTTTCGTCAATCGGTCGACGACAACCAATACTGTATCCTTTCCGCTGGATCCGACCGGCAGACTTGTGACGAAATCCATCGTCACCTATTGCCATGGGCGTTGAGGTGGCTCGAGGGGCTGCAACAGTCCAGTCGGTCTCTGATGTGATGATTTCATTCGCTGGCAGACCGGACACGCGGCCACGTAACGCTGCACGTCCGTCACCAAATCTGGCAAGTAATAAAACCGCTGCAACGCCTTCAAATTTTTATCTACCCTGAAATTTCCCGATAAATTCGAATTGTGGACTTCTTGAATTAGTAATTCGCGAAGTAGACGATAACTTGAGACCCAAATTCGATCTGTCCCACTTCGTAAGTAATAGACGCCTTTCCGTGTAGTGATTTGGAGATGGCCGTCATTTACGAAGAAGGGGTCAGTCGAATACCCGTGGGTAAATAGTCCACTCAGTAGCGGGTTGCTCTGGGCGACTAGTACTGTTGCGAGTTGGGCAGACGGTCTAGAGAGGGCGTTAGCAATATTGTTGGCGCCCTTTTTGTACGTGATCTTGTACGTGAAGTTGGACTCCAGATAGTCCAGCCAACGTATCTGCCGCGGGTTGAGATTCGGCTGCGCCCTTAGGTACTGTAGAGATTTATGGCCGGTTCGCACCGTCACGTCTGCTCTAGTCAGGTAGCACCTCCAGATTTTGAATGCGTGGACACTCGCCAGCATCTCTTTGTCGTGTACCGGGTAGTTGCGCTCAGCAAATTGCATATTTCGAGACCCGTACGCGCTTGGTTGAAGACCATTGTCGAAATCTTGCATGAGCACTGCTCCGATGGCGATGTCACTTGCGTCAGTTATGACTTCGAAGGGCTGCGAAGTACGGGTGGCGACATTAAAAGAGTTTTTAATGCCTCGAACGCAGCTTGCTACTTCTCCCCCCACTCGTAAGAAGTCCCCTTCTGCAGTAAATCAGTTAGAGGTCCAAGTCCTTTAAATCTTGCTCCCGGGTCTTGCTATAAATCAGGATGTCATCCAGGTAAATTATCACACATTTGTCGAGTAGATCACAGAACACCCCGTTCATGGTAAGCTGGAGCATCAAGGGCGCGTTCATTAATCCAAACGGCATTACAGTGTATTCGTAACTCCTGTAGCCAGTACGAAACGCGGTCTTATGGCAGTCGTCAGCGAACACCCGAATTTGATGGTAACCGCCACGAAGGTCAATCTTCGAAAATTAGCGAGCTCCGTGAAGCTTGTCAATCAGCTCGTCCGTGCGTAGGATTGGGTAGTGCGATTTTATCATTACCCGTTTAAGGGCACGATAGTCCGTACACATGCGAAGTCTGCCGTCCTTCTTTGGGGCGAACAGAATCGGCGCTGCGAACGGGGACGTGCTCGGCCGAATAAACCCTTTTGCCTGCAGGTAGTCAAGTTGGTTCCGTAATTCGTGTAGCTCAGGCTGAGTCAGGCACCATTGAGTTCGTACAGTAGGCTACGCGCCGGGCTCCAACTCGATTTTGTGGTCCTAGGGTCGTTCGGGTGGCAATCCACTTGGCAAGTCGTCCGGGAAAATCTCGGGATATTCCCGAATGATTTTTGCCAAGTCATCCGGGACCGAAGCGCAGAGTTTGTTGATGTCGGTCGCCTCATTCTGCTTTGTTGATTCTGTTAGATGAACGGCGTATAAATCCGCTCCATTCTTGACCGCTCGATTGAGGCACACAGCGTTGATTCGTGTTGAGGTTGTCTCTGCTTCCGGCCACGTGGGTAATTTTCGCCAGCCTTTTTCGCACTTCACTATGCACTCGCGTGTCGTCCAATCGATTTGCGGATTAAATCTTTGCAGCCAATCGCGTCCCAATAGCACATCGTAGCCGTCAAACGTTGTCGCTAGCATCGGCGCGCTGAAGCCGAAATCTTCGCCACACATCATTCGAACGACGTGTACTTTGTCGTGTATCGCCAGCGGGGTGCCATCCACAAGTCTCGCGTCAATTTCGGGCAGACACCGCTCCAACGATAAGTGTAGTCTTTGTGCTGTCTCCCGATTTATCAAGCTGTGACTCGCACCTCCGTCGATGAATATTTTAAATTATCTTCCATTGAGTCGTCCTTCCGCCAGCACAGGATGGTCCACTAGTTCATCCCCCTTACTCAGCCGGGAGCGAATGATAGCGTGTATCGTAACTACCACCCGGTGGGGATGGTTTTTTTTGGGCGATGAGGCAGGTTCAGTAGGGGGCCCGACCGCTACTGACGCTTGGCGTTTCCCGACCTGCCTTCATCGTTCTTCTTTATCTCCTTCTTTTGGGGGCAATCATGAGATTGGTGACCCGGCTGGTGGCAGTTGAAACATCGTCCCTTGCAAAAATCTTCCATGTGCTCCTTCACCACTACGCCGTGAATCGTGGGCCATGGATCCTGGCCACGAAAACGAATGCCCTCCTGGGAACCCGCTCTCGCATACGTCCGATGCGTGTCGAAATTGTCTGCGATCCGGACTGCTTCATGAAATCTTTCCGGTAGTCGCAAATGAACCTCTCATTTAATGTCCTGCTTCAGGCCCAAAATGAATCGAGCCTTCTTCTCAGAGTCATGCATGTCGGTGATTTGATCGCATAACGTCATGAAGACCGACGCGTAATCTTGGACAGAACTCCACTGGCGTCAGTTGTCCAGCTTCGTGTGCGCGTTGTCCGAGACGGATATTGGCTTGAATCGTTCACATAGAGCTATACCCAACGCCTTTTACGTGCGAATCTTGGTCGATCCAAAAATCGCGGTTGACCCTTGGGCAGCAGACCCAAAGTTTCCGAAAAACCCCTATGTATCGCCTGCCGAAAACTCCCCCTCATGTAGTGTACAGTGGCGGAAACAATTGTCAGGATGTTTTGCATGAATTAGGGTTTTTTGCTTTCTGACCATTGTACATAAAGTCTAAATGCTTAATGGTGGTATGCTTCGGGAGGGGCACATAGTGGATGTGTTCACACCGCTAAATTTTATAATAGTACACTGGATCTAACTTTGTGCCAAAAGATATGCGAAGAGTACATCTGGACAATTATTTCCCCGAACAAATATCAAACTTCTGAGCAGCATTTCTAGTACCTAGTCCACCGACACTTGGCGTTGATCACCACCCGCACCCTCCTAAGCATGTAATCTACGAGGCTAGTGCAAACTTTTGCAGCAAACTTCTCGCACTCTTCCTGGACCCACGCTTTTACATAAGGGGATGAGCATTAGGAAAATTGCGAAGTATTAGAGCGTATGCACGAGTATTGTGCACGATTTCATATTGAATGTTATCTCCAAGACTAGCCACGCTGAGGTGCGGCCAAAGATGCCATTAGTTGATTAGTCCCATCTTATCATGGATCGTCTTCGTCGTACTGTTGTAGGGTAAAATTACGAGATGGGTGGCGAAAACTAGCGTATCTGCAGCGAAACTTATGGTAACATAGCACGGTCAACTGTGCACCCTTGCACTATTAGAATCACGCTAGGATTTGTAGGTCTCAACACGATGCAGAAGTCGAAGAAGTCGCGACTGTTGAGAAAGAACATCCGAGTTGAGGTCTGGTGAGGAAAAGGGTCACTCCAGCACAACATACTCATGCTCTCCAAGCCATTCTAAGCCATGTGTCTCACCTAGGCTTGGAATGGCTTGGAGAGCATGATTTTGTAGCAATGGAGTGACCCTCTTCCTCACCAGACCTCAACCCGGATATTCTTCCCCACTAGTCGGGGCTTCTTCGACTGCTGCACCATGACGAGACTCGTGGATTTTAATGTGATTCTATTAGTGAAAGGGTGCACAGTTGACCGTGCTATGTTACCCTAAGTTTCGCAGCAGACACACTAGTTTTCGCCACCCTGCTCGTAATTTTACACTAAAACGGTACGACAAAGACGATCCATGATAAGATGGGACTAATCAACGTATGACATCTTTGGCCACACCTCAGTGTGGCTAGTCTCAGAGATATCATTCAATATGAAATTGTGCACAATACTCTTGCATATGCTCAAATACTTCGCAATTTTCCATGTTCTCACCCCCTTATGCAAAATGGTGGGTCCAAGAAGAATGCGAGAATGTCCTTGTAAAGGTTTGCACAAATCTCGTAGATTACATGCCTAGGAGGGTGTGGGTGGTGATCAAGGCTTGGTGGACTAGGTACTACAAACGCTGCTCTGAATTTTGCTCTTTGTCCTGGGAAATAATTGTCCAGATGTACTCATTGTATATCTCTTGGCATTAAGTTAGATCCAGTGTACTATTACGGATTTTAGCGGTGTGAACACATCCACTGTTTGCCCCTCCCAAAGCGTACCACTATTAAAGATGAAGAATTTATGTACAGTGGTCGGAGGGCCCAAAAACCCTCATTAATGCAAAACATCCTGACAATTGTTTCCGTCACTGTATATTGCCATCAATGTAGCGCAGGTCCCCGCAGTAGTGATACAGCCAGCCGATTTTTTTAATCGTCAGCAGTGATCCCAGCAGCATTAAAATAACGAGCCCGTAACAGTAGTATTCTTATCTGTGGGGTTGAACGGGGGCGGCATTGTCGGTTTGATTGTCGCTATCGTCACTATCGGCACGACTGCTGCTGCTGTCGCCGCTGCTGACCGGGCGGCTGCTGCTGACCGGGCGGCTGCTGCTGTCGCCGCTGCTGCTGTTGCTGCTTCTTCTTCGGATGCTGCTCGTGCTGCCACGTCAGCTGCTGCGGTGGCTTCGTTGTCATTACGCTCCTGAGACACCTCACGTGCGATTTCGTCCAAAACGGTTTCGACACGTCTGGTGATGGCAACCTCCTCTTGGGCGGAAGCTTTCTGGCGCGAATCCTCTCGCGCCTGGCGTAACTCGGCAACTTCTGCACGAAGTCGCTCGTTGTCCTCTAGCACTGTAGCCATGCATGAGTTCATGGCGTTGAACTGCTCCCAAAGCTCGTTGAACTGAGCTTGGTCCATTTGGCGAATGCTTTGCCAGGGCAAGGGGAAATCCGTAGTGTGCCTGTACTCAGGTAAGCACAAACGCTATCGTAGTTGGGCGAATTAATCAGTCTAATTCGCGAGCAACCA